ATGAAGGGGGGGAGAGGGGGGGGAGGAGCTTCAGTCGGGCTGTGAGACCCCTTCTCTTTATTTGTGATTCGGGAGCGGTCTCAGTGGCTCATCCCTTGGAGGTCCTGGTGATGATGGTGGTAGTTCGTAGTAATTGTGGTAGTGTTGAAAGACCTTTAACATGTATGTATGTATGTATGTACCCTCAGGCGGCTGATCTCTGACCCCTACCGCACCGGAAGCCCCGAGGGCCATTCTCGTCTGGCGGCCCTGCTGAAACCCATCATGTGGCGGAACAGCAAGGCGGTGGCGGCGCAGGACCACCCCCTGCCACGGAGGGTTCTGCAGGTGCCGGGGTGGGAGGGTGGATTGGGCTGGGGATTGTCGGGGAGGAGAGGGGGGTGGGGCGATAATTTTAGGCTTGCCTCGCTATCGGCTTTTGTACCGTCCGCACATACTTAGATCGGTTGTGGTTTCCCTCTTGCGCGATGATGAATTTATCAGAGTTGCGCAAACCCTGTTTTAAACCCTAAATGTAAATCCTTTTTTTTAAACCTTGCTAAAACCTGCAGGAAGCACACTTGCGGTTTTCCGCGGCGGAGCAGGCTTTTTATGACGTCATTCTGGGCGAGACCCGTAAGGCCTTTAACGAGATGGCCAACCACCAACGGCCGGAGACACAACAACAGCAACAACTGCCACTACAGCAACAACACCAGCTGCAATTGCGGCAGCAGCAGCAGCAGCCGGGAGCAGCGTTACGCCTCGAGTCTGACGTCATCGATCTCACAGCGGATGACGGTGATGGCGATAACATCATCAACCAACGCGACAAAACCGTCACCACCACCACCACCACCACGAACAACAGCAACAACAACAACAACAACAACAACAACAACAACAACAGCAACAACAACAACAACAACAACAGCAGCAGTACCAACAACAACAATATCACAAGCAACAGCACCGGGAATAACGCAGACCTCATCCTCCGCAGCCCTCGAGGTCCCCAACCCACGGCATCCAGACAACAAGGCCACGGCAAGCGCCGCCGGGGGCAAGGTAGGCGCGAAATCCCGTAGCTGTCCGTACACCGTACTGCCGTACGCCGTGTAGAAATATGGTTATGATAATGAGGGCTGTGTTACTGCTGCTATTGCCGACCACGTCAGTCGTCGTTGGGAATTGCCCCTCAAGATCCCCGCCCGCCCGCAACCAACTCCTCTCATATCCTCTCCTCTCCTCCGGCCCCCCGTACCGTACCGTACGCATTTTCTTTTCGCCAATCGTCTGTGTATGATTTTTCTCCCGACAATTTCCCCCCCTCCCTTATCCCCCTCCGCCCGCTCCCCACACTCTCCACACCACATTCTTGCCGTACCTCCTCCGCCTCCTCCTCCTCCTGCTCCACACCCATGTATCCCTCCATCTGCCCTCCGAAACCAGATCGCGGCGAGGTCCTGGCGCAGGTGGCGGGAGCCGAGCTGCACCAGCTGCGGCTGGCGTGTGTGCACGTACAGCTGACCCGGTACTGGCAGAAGCTGGGCCAGGAGTTGGCGTTACATGGGGGCTGTAACGCCCACCGGGGTCATGGAGGGGGTGTCGGTGTGGGGGGAGGGGGTCAGCCGCCCGCCATTGATGACGTCATGGCACGACTGCGGGACCAGGCGCAGTGCATTG